GCTGTGGAGGTGGTGCTGAGCATCAAGGAGCTGTATGCTGAGACCAGGACATTCCTGGAAGGGAAGGCGGTGAGTGGGGGGCTGGAGAGTGCCCCAAGCCCCACAACAGAGGGGCCTGTGCCCTCAGCTGGTACCTCTGGGGGTGGCAGCAGGGTTGGGGATGGTCCATGTTCCCCACAGCTGGACTCGCCGCAGGAGGAGGAGGCACTTCACGGCCCTCTGAGTGTGCTGGGCCAGGAGCTGCAGCGGTTGCTGGACATCCACTGGCTGGGGCCCATTGCCCAGCCTGCTGAGGAGGTGGGTGCACAGGGACCAGGGGGGTGGCCCCAGAGGGCTGTAGCATCCTGCTCAGCCTGGCTACTTGCAGGAAGGTGCTGGCAGTGCCAACAAGGGCAGCTTCAAGCTTCGCCTCAACATTGCCAAGCCCAGGAAGGAGAAAGACAAGTTGCAAAAGCAGAAGGCCAACAGCACGCTCCCAGGTAAAGCGAGCGGTGCACCAGGGAGAGACAGGTATAGCCTGTACTGGTAGGGACCCCCCTCTGCTGACCTATCCATTGGCCTCCTGTCTTGGGCATGTTGTGGAGGAAGCCTTGGGGAGGGGGACAGGGCATGTCCTGGCTGCCTGGGGATGTCAACTCTGTCACCAACAGCCCCTTAAAGCTTACTTTTTCTGTTACCTGACATGTGGAGCACCCCAGCCCCATAATTCCACCACCACCGCAAGGGGGTGAAGGGGGTTATGGTACAGTCAGCCCTTAGTGTAAGTCCCTGCCCCAGGGCTGGCGGTCTTGTCAAGGGGAGCAGCTCTGATGCTCCGTAAGTAAGCCAAGGAGAGGAGAGACCTCTTCAGCCTGAGCCTGCTGCGGCCTCTGGCCCTGCTAAAGCCATGGGTGGGAGGGGGGATGCTGCCTGCTGCCTGCCCTGCTGCATCTGGCTGCCTTTGCGGGGCCCAGTCCACCTCTGTGGTTTTCCTCCCTGCTAGCAGACAAGTGGGGCTCCGAGGAGGTGGCAGCTTGGCTGGAAGCACTCGGTTTAGGGGAGTACAAAGACATTTTTGTCCGGCATGACATCCAGGGCTCAGAGTTGATCCTGCTGGAGAGGAGAGACCTAAAGGTACAACTGTCTTTTGCCCCCTGAGGGACCCTAGCCCTGAGGAGCCCTCTCCCCCTACTTCCTGGCAGTGGGGCAAAGGCAGGTGTTGACTCTACATACACCTGGCCCGGCAGGGCTGCGCTTGCACTGCTCGTACACAGGGGCTGGAAGCCAGGGAGGGTCTGGCTTTTGACCTCCAGCTTGCAAGACTCCATACACCTGCCCAAACCAGGATCAACAGCATTCTGCCCACTCCTGCATGCAGGCATGAGAGCATGCTTGCAAGAAAGAGGACAGAGGGCACTGTGCTCCAGCAGGGCGAGCATGGGGAGCCAGGCTGTGCAGCCTCATTCTGTATCCTGCAGCTTCCCTGTTAGAGAGCCCAGGGCTGGCCTGTGTGAGTACATCTGCTCCCCTCTCTCCTTCCTGCAGGACCTGGGGATCACCAAAGTAGGCCATATGAAGAGGATCCTCCAGGCCATTAAGGAGCTCAGCAACCCACCGTAGACTGCCAGGGGGGCAGCAGTCTAGCCCAGGCACTGGGTGGATGCTGCCCCCAGGGACCAGGAGGAGGGTAGAGGAACAGATCCTTGCCCTGCCCCATGTGTGTGGAGCCTCCCCACCCCTGCTTGCCTTGCTTTATCTGTCTGTCCCCAGTGTTCTTGGAGCCACTGCTTCTCCCCAAGCCTGTGGGGCTGGAGACACTAAAGTGAAGGTCTAACGCCATAGGTGATGTGATCTGACCCCTGGTCCAGCCTCAGCAGGGTCACTACAGGAGCTGGGGCCGCAGCAAAGTTTCCCTTTCCCCACGTGAATATTTAAGCTGTGTAAATATTTGGAGAGAAGATACTCATTGCTGCTGCTCATGTAGTGTCATTACTGAGGGGAAGGCAAAGGGTGGGAAAAGGAAATTGGGAATCCCTTTATAGCCTTCACCGCTCAGCTTGCTGCTCTCCATCAGGCAGCCCCCCACCCCACTCTCACCTTCTGTGCCAGCACATATGACAAACATATTTTATTAACAGTTCCACATGACTTCTTTTTCCTTTCTTTTCCTCAGTTAAAATTACTATTATTTATGTACATGGTACCCCCCTGCCTGAGGGCACCCTGCTATTTACAGGCTTATTTACAGAGCAGGGCTAGCAGCTAGTAAGTGCTTCCTCGAGCTTGAGCATGTCCATGGGGGTGACTTTGGCAACCTCAAAGAAGACCCTAAAAGGAACATGTTGACTTAGAGCTCAGCCACAGCCCTGACTGGGAGCCCATTTGCCAGTGCTCCCAGTTCCCTGCAGCAGTACAGTGTGTGCTGGTGGTGCCACCTCCTGCAGCAGGGACAGGCCTGAGGCAGAGCCCCGTGATGCTCACCTGTGTGAGTACTTGCTGCGCACAGCATTCAACTTGTCCCGGGGCTGGTATGTGAGCAGGAAATTCAGCCTCTTCACCAGGGAATGCAGGTCCTGGGCACTGTACCCACTGTAGTACTCCAGTGTAGGGGTCTGCAAGGGGACATCATGGCTAAGCTGGGTTCTCTTTGTGACAGAAGAACCATTATCTTCCCTCTCCAGCCCCCCAAATCTGATCACAGCCTCAGAGCATTCTCCCATACACCAGTCCAACACCTCCCATGCCCCCACGGCACCTCCCAGGGTACCTCAGCATGGACAGGGGGTTAGGCAGGCACTCACCCAGCCCCCGAGGTTCTTCATGGTGAGTGCCAGAAGCAGGCAGCTGGCAGCCAGCTTTGAGGGTCTCTCGCGGGCATAGTCGTACTCCTGCAGGGTCATCTCGCAGAGGAAGCGAGCCAGCGTCAGCGTCTCTATGCTGGCACGGGCGCACTACAGCCAGGGGGCAAGGAAAGGCTCAGCCTTTTGAGCAATGCTCCTCCTCTCCCCAACCTTTTTGGGATCCAGAGTGCTGTCCCTGTGGCACAGGATGCAGATTCCACACTCCTAGCCTACTACAGACCAGCATTCTCACCCCTCAACCCTCTTGAGGGGACCCACACAAACCTTCCTTGCTAACCAGCTGGGAGCCCAAAGCCCTGGGACTGCATGTCACCAACCCACAGAGCCAACACAAGGGGTGCCTGGAAGCCGCTGGATGCCAGCCCACCCTCCAGCAGCACCCACCTTGGCGAAGCGCCGCAGGAAGCGGTATGAGATGGGGATGTTGATGTCGAAGTTGAGAGTGCTGAGAATGCTCATCTCCATGGCAATGAGCTCCTCCCGCTTGTAGGCATCATCACAGATGTAGAGGAAGTCATCCACACATGGTGGGCACCGCTCCTGCCAGGGCACAACAGCTCAGCACCACAGTGGAGGCTCGTCCTGGCCCCACTCAGGAGATCCTACCCATCCCACAGGCCCTGTGTCAGACCCAGCAAGGACTGTTACAACACCCTGTGGGGCTTGTGTGGTGTCTCTACTGCCCCAGCCCTTGGCCTGAACTCTATGCTTGCACGAGGCAAACTCATGGTTCTGATGGTCTCTGCAGAGCAGAGGAGTCAGGTCTCTAGTGACACCAGGAGGAAACAGAATCCAGCCTACCATTCACAGCCTTTGGGACAGGAAGGAGGACCATGAGGATAGGCATGCCACCCTGGCAGCTCTCAGGGCAGTGACCTGGCACCATGGAGAGCTGGCCTTCTCCAAAATGCCAGGGGAATCAGAAAGGCACAAGTTCCCCTCTGCCCCTGCATCCCAGGACAAGGGGTTACCTCAAATTTGGAGGCAATGAGGATGGCAGTGGAGCCGATGAGCTGCAGCTTCTCCCTCATGCTCACCACCCTCACCAGGTAGTGGTCCACCAGCTTCACAGCCAGGTACAAAGTCTCATGGTTCAGCTCGAAGTTCTCCTGCAAGGATATGGGGGGGGGGTAGGAGAGGCTGTCAGGCAGAAGCGAGGCTCACCCAGCCCTCACAGAGGCCAGAAGTGCCCATGGGCCAGGCTCAGAGAAGGGTATAGGCTCATCCCAAGGGAAGACCAGCTCCACACAGCAGATGCTCCCAGGAGCCTCTGCCAGCACACTGAGGCACCACGTGCCAAAGGCAGCATGGGGGATGCTCTGCAGAAGGCCATGCCTCCTCACCTGCACCTCTACCATCCAGTCCACAAGGATGGCACGCATGTCTGCACTGATGTCTGGCTGCTTTTCCATGTAGTCAGGAAGAAAGAATTTCTCCTGCCAAAGAACCTGCTGTCAGGGACTGGACAGACACCTCCTTCCTCCCACTCGAGCAGGCCCCTTCTCACCCTGTGCAGGCTGCTGCCAGGGGCTCAGGGTCTCTGGGCAGTACGTGGCCCTGCCCACACAGTCACCCCTTCCCCAGACAGAGCTGCCTCCCCCTGGACAGGCCTCACCCACCTCTCTTTCACGCATGTATTCAAAGATGTCCTTGGCATACTCTGCATTGGCATAGGGGTCACCCAGCTGCTCCTTGTCGATGTCCTCCACTGCTGGTAATTGCTGGGATGGAGGAGGCAGTAGTAAGGGGGGAGGTCATTTGCTCTGAGATGCTAGTCATACCATCAGGGCAAGGCTACTACCCCTTGCACCCCTT